ATGAAAAAACGAATTTGGATTTAGCGTTTCAATTTCTCTAATATTTCACTGTTTCACTATGCAGTTAGTAGTGATTGGCCACTTCAACTTTGCTTCTTTGCGAATATGCATTGATAGGCTACTAGATATGCGTCAGCACTTAGTTTTGTGTCCCAACTCCGCGAAAGGGCTTTGCCTGAATAAGAACCAAAGTTCATGCATTACGGGTGGTTATCCAACATCATCGCCGGGTGGTTAGCCAAACTTGCAGGGGCGCGGGCTCCCTTTAAGTTTGGGTAACCACCCGGCAATGACGTTGGGTAGCGGGAACACTGAACGCTCATCCGATCATCATGAACAGGAGATTGTTGCATGCCGCCCCTGATCTTGCATCAGAGTAATCAGGAAATATTAAAAGTTAGTCGCTCAGCAAAGCTTCGTATAATCTACAATAACGGGAAGCTGATTCGTTCAATAACAATTTTGAGTATTAACTCAAGTAAATTCTGCTCAAACATTCACCATACCTGTATCCCCGCATACTGAAGATGAGCTCCTTTTATGTCGGCTTTGAAATATATGAGCTCTGCATCACCATCAGCCTCATAACTTAGAAGGAGCTGTACTCATGTGTAATTTACCAATAACATGATGCACACTAATGTCCTGCAAACCTTTTTGGAATAGTCATCAATTTCCTTTACATATAAATAGAAATGGTCAAGGCCCTGCAACCTATAGTGCTCGACCATTTCTGCTAACATAAGCCATTTGCTTTCGTTGCCATAAATCGGCGGGAGACACAACGAAGTTGTATAAATAACGTCTGTATATATTGCGATGTTCAGCACATAGAATAATATTTCGAGTACTGGAACGAGTGCGCTCACCTCCAGGCCTTTTGTCCAGTATTTTGACCGCATCAGTAAGTTTGTCTTGTGGACCAGCAGTAACGCTCATATGCGTTGCGTTTGGGTGATTGCAGCAATGAACGGCGTTATTGGGATAGACGAGCGTTAACAAAGGCGAGTTGACGTCACGCCACTCCATGTCCAAATAACGACAATATGCAGCAACTTCTGCGCCTTTTCCTTTCTCGAGTCTTGTCATCTGGGTTCTGCCATCAAGAGCAATCATTGGAAGGCTGGAAAACCATTCAACATGTTATGAAGTTGTCGTACAAGCTATAAAAGAAGCATTGAAATTTCAGAGGATCATCTATCGCTTTGTCTTCGAGGAAATCGAGTCACACAGTTTTTTGGAACCGCAGCAATACAATAGGTCGTCTCATTAACTTGTAGAGTTTTTATTTTTTGTATACGGCGGTTGGTTTATGTTCAAATAGCTATAGTACTCGAGAAAGGCAATTTTGCTCTGCAAGAACTGCTGTTCGTTTCCAGCGGAACTAGATCTGTTTGTTCTATGGCTTCTCAAGCAACGTTTTCGAGACAAAAATTGGCGATTTAGGCGTCTTGCATCTTTCGACCCCATATTCCACACTGCTGATTTTTTTCAAAACGGGACTGCATACTTTACATACGCCGCTTACATCGGCCAAATTTCCCCCAGAAAAGTGTACGTGCCACTCATAAAAGCCAACGTAATCTTGAAACCTTGCACTTGGCAAGCAGAGCGCGTTTATTTTTTTTCACGTCAAAAATCGAAGTGGCCAATCCAGACATGCTGCATATCACTAGATGCAGCATAAAACGCTGATTTCAAATCTGTATT